CTGTGCTGATGCTGAGCTGGGTACCAGTGTGGCAGAACCCTATCTAGGCTATGTTTGTGCATACTTATCCTACACCTATGCATACACACCAAAAAGAAAAAAAATGGAAGGGGGGGGGAGAGGAAGAGAGGGAGAAAAGAAAGGAAAAATGGTAGCAGGGAAGGAGGGAGCAGATTTGTTTGGCTCATAGTTTGGAGTTTCAAAGGCGTGGCACTGGCAGTGGCCCAGTCTGGAGGCAGTGTTCTTGCTGGGCAGTTGTGAGACAATGCATAGCCTCACACAGCAAGAGACTGACTGCATATCCAGGTCTGCCTTCCTTCTCTAAATAAGATATTGGGTTCATTCGTGAGGCTCTACCCTATTTCAGTATAGTACTTTCCCAAGGCCCAGCCTGGCCTGTCACCTGCTCAGGTAGCTTGTTTCATGCCTGTGCAGAGGTATCTCGTGATGAAAGAGGTTAAATTTTTCTACAGATTCTGGCGGCAAACCAAGATCACAGGACAGTGACTGTCATTCTGAGGCTGACGCTGAAGCAGACAGCTGCAACATGTCGATTTCCCCAAAGCATGCATGATGTCAATCCCCTGCAGTTTAGTCCCCATCACTGTGCTCCCACTTGAGATGAAGAAGCCTGAAATCATGCCAATGCTACCTGGATAAGAAAACATGCCCAATCCAGGCCTCTGCCTGCAGCTCCAGGCCTCTCACGAGAAGGCCTTCCTCACTGTCCACGTGGCTCCTGCCTTCCTCTCCTGCTCAGCACTGCCTGTTCCTTTCATGGCCTTGCCCAGCCACACCAGAGTTAGCTGACCACGTCCTTTGTGAAACTGTCCCTGTAGGTGGAGGCCACCCCTCAGATGTGCCTCCATCATGCCAGAGCTGTGTCCCATGCCTGGTAAAGGGCGTGCCCACTCACTATGGTCCTCACAGCTGTGCGCACAGCCCTGCCCCCGTTCCTTACCGTTCCTTACAGAGCAGTGTTGCCACTTCTCTAGGAGGCCCTGCCTCCTCTGCTGTGATCCTGTCTGCCTGTCTCAGAGGTTCTGGTTCTTGGCAGGAAGAGTCCAGAAATATAAGTGGTTGGTACTTTATCCTGGCTAACTGTGTTGCATAAGTGTGGTGTGTGATATGGGTGTGATCTGTGTGTGTGGCGTGTGTGGTGTGTGGTGTGTGTGTATGTAGTATGTGTAGTGTGTATGGGGTGATGGTGGGGGTGGGAGTGTGTGTGTGTGTGTGTGTGTGTGTGTGTGTGTGTGTGTGCCCACTGGGAGCCTTGATTATGCATTGGTGTTTGAGGGAAATTGTTTCATACAATGTCCTTAGTCGTAAGAGGACTATTAAGAAAGAGGGAGCTGACGGGAGAAAGGGAGGGCAGTAACTGGAGGAAAGGATATACTATCCAACCACCTTGATATGCACGAATGTGTCATTGTGACCTCATATGTCAACTAATGTATATTTATTAAAGGTGAAAAACAATTAGGACCTGTCTGTCAATGCATAGGAAGTACAGTATTGACAGGGAATTAATCTGGAAAATGTGGTAGGAGAAAATTATTCCAAACCAGATAAAGTGATGTGACTGAGATTGTCATGATCTTGGTTATTACCAACCACTAAATAAAGAAAAATAAAAGAGGATATTTACCTGGATTTTGAATTTGTCTTGTTGCCTAAGGGCTAAGCTGCCCTGTGCTACAGAGGAATTCAGAAAGGCTAGTGTCAGCTCAGTGAGGCTGGACTTTGGTTTAGACTGCAGTTAGCTGACGTTGTCTGGGAAATCCACTGTTTGCAAGCGTTAGAGGCAAATTCTCTGCAGACCAGTCTCACACTGAACTTTCCTTTCCTTCCTACAGCCAGCTCACACCAAGGATAGTCTCCCTGACAGGCCACCCCTGGGGTCCTAAATTCACCACAATATGACAGCAGCAGGGACCTCAGAGATTTCTGAGTGTGAGGCTTAGAGTCACCTTATTCTGTGTGTTAGTGGTGAGAAGTACTTTTCGATCAAAGATGAGTAACAGATTATGTACAAAAATGTAATACTTTTAACATGATATTTAATAAACAGAATAGCGTTCAGGATATGTAAAGAACATTTGAAAATAAAATATATAAGCAATTATCCAACAGCAGTGATGAAATACATCCAATAATTTTACTAGCATTCAAACCTACCAAGTAGAAAAAATACAGACTGTCACAATTATAATTTGATAGTATGTATCAAATTTTTCCAGGTATGAAAAAAATACATTCTCTTGTGGTCAGAGTGTGAAATAATTCAGTCACTTTTGCAGACATTTGTTTCAGTGAGAAATGAGCAGGTCTTTAGCCTTGGTATCCCTTGGCTCCCAGTGAGACATGCACTACAGCATTGCTGACACTCATGAGAAATGGATGGCAGCCAGGGTCCTGGCCAGGCAGAAGTTGCTAAGCAAACCAGGCACGCACAGCAATCCACAGCCTCTTCCATGGGCATAAGGAATGAGCCAGAACTGGTTTATCCATGATGCACTGAAAAACAATGCCCTCTCCCCACTGTCTCTGGGGAGCTGGGGAGGAAAGAAAAGGAAAAAAAAAATGAAAGAGAAGGGAGGTTTCATATATATAAATTCTCTTTATGGTTCTACCCTTCAAACGCTGTTGGAAGCGACCCTCAATGAGCAGCAGCATTTCCTAACTGAACAGCCCCTCGCTGTGTGTGAAGCTTTCCAGTTCATTTCCAATCCACTGAGTTCATTTTTCACAGTGCGGCTCATAACCTGTGAAACTGAGGTCAAGACTCAAAGATAGTTTGAAAGTTACTGCTCAGAGTTGCTTGTGCCTGTGGGCTAACTGGATGGGGTAGGAGACAGGAAGGAAACTCCCAGCTAATGTCAGCAGTGGTGGTTCCTGTGAGAGGTGGTTTCAGAACCTTACGCTTGATCCTTAATAACCATTTTTGTGTTTGTTTGCTTGATTTACAAGGCGCTTTTACAATTAAACATTTAAAATTTCATTTTAGGAGAGTAAGCAATCACCAGGTGAGGTGGCACGAGCCTGTAATCCCAGGACCCAGGGAGGCAGAGGCAGGATGATCTCTTGAGTTCAAGGCCAGCCTAGTCTATAAAGTGAGTCCAGGCCAGCCAGGGCTACACAGAGAAACCCTGTCTCATAAAAAAAGAAGTGAGAGAAAGAGGAGGATGAGGAGGGGGGAGAGAGAGGGAGAGAGAGAAAATTTTGAAAGTCAAGAGCTTACTAGAACGGAGGAGTTGGTCAGATGGACTTAAAACCCAGTGTTTTAGTTCAAGCACATAGCTATATGTTAAGCAGCAGGTATTCTGGCCAACTCCCTTGTTTTTGTGTTTAGGGACACATGAGCACATGCTTGTGGTAAGGTAGGGTCAAGCCTAAGGTACCCCTCAAAATGCTACTACAAACCTAGATGTGCTCAGCCATGCTGTGAGACCTTCGCTTCTCATCTACAAGTCATGACAGATGAAAATACCAACAGGAACATGACACAAATTAGAGTCCTCCAGTTTTCTGTTGGCAGCATGAAGGCAGCACCCTGACAAAGACAGGAGCTTGCCTGTAGAGGGTCTTCGGGTGGGGAGCATAGCTGCAGAGGGTGGGGTCACTGTTCCACGGGCCATATGCACTGTGGACAGCAGCCAGCACCACCACGCTGCTCTTAGCTGCAGTCAGTTAATTCTTGTGATTTACTTTCCCATCTTTCTACCCTGAGGGGAATTTATTAAATTACATCTTAATGATCCAATAATTGATGCTTACAAGGGGTTCTCAGGAGAGACAGACCCTTTACGTCTAAATAAGAAATTAGCCCTCGTTGGCACAGAGCTGGCTCACGTCTCGTGCTAGTTATCAAACAAGTAAATAGTGATATCCATAAAGAAGATCTTCATTTTTTATTTCCCTTTTTGTTTTGTGTCTTAGATGAATAATTTCATGTTTAAATACCCATATAAAAGTCTCTTTAAATGTTTTGAAAACAAAGAATTTATAGCAAGACACACAAACTTTTTCTGAAAGCACACATAAGAATCATCTTTAATATTGTAGTTATTGCTGAAGCAAATTACTATAACAAATTTGATTTCTTAAATTCTGAAATGGTATGGAAGAAAGAAAAGGATATATTGGAAACAATTTTAATAAAAGGAAGCTGGTAAATGAGTATTATTACAGATGGAAGGGAAAGTCTGGATGAAAGTGAGGGGTTATTTTCTGGTTTCTTCCATGGTCTCCATTGTAGTCTGTGAATGAGAAAAGAAGGGTGTGGCTGATTCCAGCAGTGAGGCCATTCCTATATTAGCTTTCTAGTCCTCAAGGACAGAGCACTGTGGTAAGGAATATGAAGTTGAGTAAGCAGTTTGTGTTCAAATTGACAGCTATTAGCCTGAATTTGGGGAGGTGTGATGGCTTTACCATAATAATTCAGGGCAAGGTAACCCTATCCACTTAGACCCAGAAGGAAATTGAAGTAAACAATTAAGGTTTGCAGTAATTGAGGATTTGAACAATACTTAATTCTACTGTGTAGTTTTGCCTGCTTTGTATTTTGTAGCTAGTAGTTTTGGTAAGATAGCGTTAAAATACATTGTGGAAGGTATGATGAACAAACAACCAAACAACCAAACGTCCCTCCCTCAGAACTTCTTACCTGAGGCAGCATTTCCTCCCAATGGCAGCCTCCTGCAACTGCACCTGCAATTTTCCTTCATCCAGTGTGACCAGCTGTACCCTGCTTCTGCACTCCACCTCCTGCAAGGGCACCTGGTCTTTCAGTTGTGTAAGGGATATTTATGTTTCTTGAGTGCTCGAGACTTGGAAGGAAATAACAGCTTATTTCATTTTATGAAACACTCAAGTGTTACAGTGTCCCATTGGTAAGATGAGATCTTGGCTTCTTTTTTACCCTAGAATATTATTGCATTTTCCCACTGCTAGCACTTTTGAAAGAGGGCTTGACTAACTGCAGGATTTATCCCCCACAGCATCTGCTGGCATTGCTGTCTCCCAGCGGAAAGTGCGGCAGATCAGCGACCCCATTCAGCAGATTCTACTCCAGCTGCACAAAGTCATCTTCATCACACAGGTCGGTGCCCATAGGGTTTCACTTCTGCCACAGGCCAGAGCTAACAGTGCTGAAAACATACAGCCTTGCAGGACTTTCAATTACAGAGAACTCTTAATTGTTTTCATCTTAATTCTTTTCAACACGGGACGTCTTTGTAGGGACACTTTGGCCTAGAAGTAAATCTGTCCAGTTTTCTCCATGGTTTCTGCCTGTGGTCTCTATCCTAAAACAGACTCCCACACAAATGCCTTTTTAATGTCAGGGATGCAAGAAGAGACAGAACTGGGTTGCTTTTTCTACAAGCAATGTTATCATAGGAATGAGGGGAATGGGACCTGTATCCTTTCATCTGCTTTGAGAACAGAACCTCTCAAGGATAGGAAAGCCACTCCCATAAAACCCAGGACTATTAAAACTCTCTGTTTATGAATCTGAGTCATAGTTCGTCAGAAGCTCAGGGCTCAAGCCTGGCTGTTGGTTGTGGGCACGCTTCAGCATAGCGTTGAACCACTGGGTAGTGCACCTAAGCCACGCTCTAACTACTAATAACACGTTTTATTTTTTTTTAAATAAAAGAAGTGTAGATATTTGGATAAGAAAGTGCGTACTTTGAAGTTCAAGATAGTGCCATACAATGATGTTGTGCATCCCTTCACTCGTTTGTCTTATGATCAAAAAGCATCTGTTCACGTGATTCAAGTGACAAATACTGTTCTAGGCACTGAGAGGCATAATCGCCTTGTGATAGTTATTCTTGATTTGCAACTCGAAGAGCATCAGAATTACTATGAGAGAAATGTCTGTGAGGGACTATCTAGGTTGAGTTAGTTGATGTAGGAAGACAGACCCCAAATGTGGATATCATGGGCCGGAGGCCTGGACTTAGGTAAAGGAGAAAGGGAGCTGGATACGAGCATTCATCCAATGTGGCCAGCTGTGTTCTGCTTCTGCCACTGTACCTTCCCAGCTGCGACAGTGTAAGCCAAAATACATTCTCGCTTCTTGCCCCCACCTTCTGTTGCTTTTGTCAGATTGTTTGTTTGTTTGTCTAAGCAACAAGGTAAATAACTAGCCCCATGTCCTGATCACCTGGAGCCTAAGAGCCACCACGGGAGCCGTTGGAGCCGGTTGTACCAAGTCTAGTTGTACATCCACGGGTGTAGAAAAGTAATGCAGGCATGTGCACCAGCTGCCTCCTGGTAAGACAAATGCGCACTCAGGCTTCGTCTGTCATCGTAGACCCCATCTTGGGAGACCTGACCAAAAACGTTGATTCCTATAAGCTAGGGACAGTTTAAGACTGTAGGAATCACTGCTGGTTTATAAGGTTTCACTGGTGATTTATAATCAGCGTCTAGCTTTTCTGGAAAGCCCACATATTCTTTTCCCCGGTAGATGGTCACTGTGATAAATGGATGCACATTTTGCTGGGAAGAGTGCAGAAAAGAAAATATGGAGAGTTCCTGTTGTAATAGTCCAGGGTTCCTTACCCAGGGATTCCAGCTTCCCTGTTATCCCCGGGGCCTCTGGCTGAGCCCTGTGTTGAGTCAGGTCTGATGAATACTGTTGGAGGCAGACAGAGCCCCTTCACTGAGGCAGCGGCAACTCAGGCCAGAGTGTTGTCTATAAGCGCTGTTGTTCTTTTCTGCTGTTACAACAACAAAGAAAAGCATGCACCAATACAACTATCAGCCTCCATTCTGGGAACACCTGACTAGTTGCTTCCGCCGAAGCTTGCTGAAGCCAAGGCTCTGTCAGCACAGGCTTGCCGTTCTTTGTGGTAAGTGCCCTAGCTGGTCACTGGCGATCTAGTTCTATCACTCTGCTTCCGTTGTCAGATGCACTGGGCTCCTGTATCCCTCAGGCTCTCTCAGCCAGCACAGAACAACTTCACAGCTTGGATGGGTGCAGGGCTCCTGTTGCACTGTCCAGAGCTGTCCTGAAAGAAAGGACTACCTTCTGGAGGTCCCTGGTTGGCGTCAGCCGGGGAGGGGTGTGCAGGCCACAGATCCACAGATAGTAAATTACCCAGACCACCCCACCATTCCCACTTCTCTGCACCTCTGAAAATTCCCTCCTCTGTGGACTCTCGGATTTTAATTTTACCCCATGCAACATGAGCAGTTAGTCTGCATTGCCACCTGCACGAACCAGAGCCTTCAATGCAGAATCTTGAGTGAGCTTGCACACCTGCGGGCTTGGTGTGACTCAGGGTCCTCTCTCTCCCTCCCCACAGAACAGCCTTAGAATATACTTCTCACACTTTCTGACGTGGTTCTGCTTTGTGCTGCAGTCTGTGGCTTTGGCCACGTAAACCCCTTGCTCCTGAGCCCTGTGGCTCAATTCCCATGAACTGTATGGAGGTCTGGTGGGTTATAGAGTGGAACCTCATCCCCATGGGTCTTGTGAGGAGTGTGCGTGCTTTTTCACTCCCGGAGAGCTTCTCATCCAATTTTCTGGCAGGGAGAGGTTTGTTTCCTGAGAACAGAGTAACAAGTTGTGTTCAATGAAAATAACAGCTGAAAGTGGCGTGCGTTTTAGAGTCCCAGCTTCATCGGGATTCAGCAAAATGCCCCAGGTTTATGTTTTGGGGTCCAATTCAGTACCCTTAGTGTTAAGACATTGTATCCAAGAAGAGGTCAAATATGAGAGTAGAGACTTCCACCCCAGGCTCAGGTTTGCTGAGGTGCTACGCTGGAAAAACTTGAAGCGTGCTCTTGGAGACGCGTCAGCCACTTCCCCTAAGGTCCCTGTTGAAGGCTGCTGAGAGTCAGCAGTCCAGGGCGGCATGCTGAGAAATACCCTCTACTGGACCAGGCATGCCACTGGGGATTGAAATACCTGGCATGCCACCTACACATGGTGCCACCTACTGTGACCGGGGTTAAGCAATTCTACCTGGGGTCCAGCAGGTACTGACAACTGTTTGCTGGTGGAGTCAAGCAATGCCAGAGCATTCTGGACCCAGAAGGACAAGCTCTGCCCTCCTCCAGGGTCTGTTAGCAGACTGTACCTACAGAATGTAGTATCTACAGAATGTAGTATCTACAGAATGTAGTATCTGGCCATTGAGCTCTGTTGCTCTGATGTCCTAGCAGGACAATCAGGATGGACTGATGGGCACTGACCACTACCTTAAAGTGGGGACCAAGCAGGCAAGGCCACTAGCTTCTTTGAGACTGGCCAGCCTCTGGGCTCTCCTTGTTTCCCCTCTTGTCATTTTCCCCTACTTTGGGGAATCATATGCTTGAAGATGAGTCTTATCTGTCAGTTTTGCCCCAAATCTAGTGTTCTTCTCAGTCTTCTCAGTCAGCTGCTCTTCTGGACCCAAGCATCTAAGATTGATTATTTTCCCCACTATTTTCTGCTGTCAGCTGGTCTCTGTAACCACACAGAACTTTTTAACCTATGAAATGGAAGAGTGTGAGGGAATGCAAGCAAACATCGGGAGAGAACTTGATTAATGAATATGCACGTCGCCTACCAGATCAGACAGTAAATATGTCATATTGCATGTCCATTTGTGCGCCAGCAAAGAGTTGGGGAAAATACTCCTTAATGCTATCCATAGCTGTGAATAGCTCTTTAGTTACCCTAACGGTTGATCACTAATTTGAGAAATTTAGCATAACTTCTGTATGTAAACTCCTGTGTGGTAAATACATTCTTTAATGGATGAATGCTCTTTCTTTATTGGCTTCTATGCATTTTAAAGCGAGGATGAAACTCCTGTACATGTGTTATTACTCACTTAAACAGCTGGTGTGCTAGATGGTTTTTGTGTTTTTTGGCCAGTGGCATGCATTCATTCCATGCTGCCAGTTCAGACATAACGACTGTAGTTTTCCCAAATGCACTTTAAGAACAGTTTCAACTTCATGTTATTGACACAACAAGAAAAGGTTCCCCTCTGGGAACTTTGCAGTACTCAATACAGCAAGTGCCATCACAGGAAGGAGACCTCATGTTGGTGCGCTTGCTGCATGGAAGGCCAAGCTGTACAAAGGAAGCTTCTTCAAAGTACTATTGACCTGAGAAACAGGGCAGCTCCCCTCCGCCTCACTGTCCTTGTGAGGAATGGAGGGGATTGACAGAGAAACTCGCTTGTTTCTGCTCAGTTTCCACAGAGATACACAGAAAAGCTCACCCAGTGGCCACAGTTCTGTAAGTCAGGGCATTAAATCCTCCTTCTTACCTTGATTGCACATCTGTTTCCACTGACATGGAAGCGCAGCCTTAAGGCTGGCATGCGAAAAAGGCAGTGAGTGGTTTATTTCCGGTACTGGGAACCAGTGTTCCATCGAGTAGAGGGTGTGTGATACTCATATGTTACTTCATAGTTATTGCGTAGGGAAGACCTGAGAGCTGAAGAAATTAGATATCCTTTAATTTCCATTTGGTTAAATAGATGCTTTGAAGTCTTCATCTAAGAACTTAAAAACTTTGGAGACACATCTATCTCCAAGCAAAGAGAGGAGGTCTGGGGAGGACCCATAGTGTTGCCCATCACTGGGGTTACCAACAGCCAATATTGACCCCCTGGCTTGGCTCTCACACTGTGTTATGCAGCAGCATACAGCAGTCAGTGCAAGCACTGGGCCCCCTGAGTACTCATGGCTAGGATGTCAGAGAGTCCACAGAATACAGAAGATCATAGTAACAGCATGACTGTATTTCTCATAGCAACTTTGCTTTTAGGGACAAATGTTAGATTTTTATTTCTTTAAATGGTAATCTTAGAATGTTTGATTTTAACATTTATGGAAAAGAGTTCTTATGCAGTAAAATGTCAAAATAAAATAAGGTGCTATTTTTGGTCCACTGTTTAATCAATGGAGCCCTGAAAATTGCTGGTGCCTTGCTAATGTACAACTAGGGAGAGAATCTGGGGTTTTGGAAAGAATCTATATCAATGCAAATTTGAGAAAACATGCTGGCCTTATTTTTGTTGTTATTGTTTCTCATTTTATTACTTTGTGTGGTACAATAAAAGCCAGTTTGATGTATGAATTGAAGAAAATATGATCTTTTCTAGAATCAGTTTCTTCATCAGGAAAATGGGCGCTCTTGTAGGCTGTGTGTGCCTGGGATGTAATTAATGACATGGGAATGTTTATAAGCTGTGAGGAATAAGGCAGTGGCGAGCTAGTGGTGTTGGCTAAGGGATAGGCTGAAGCAGAAGACTTAAGTACACCACGGAAGGACAGTGTGTGAGGAATCTTTTCACCACCTAGAAATCGAACCTGCTGTGCAAGTTTACTGTGAGAGAGATACATGAGCAAACATGAGCATAAAGGAGTGATCACAGCACCCAGCATGCATGAGCCCAGGGTTTTGGTTCTATTTTTATATAGATTATGTATACTTCATCTACAGTTGAACAGTCATGATTCTGGGTAAAGCTTTCAATTATCACCAAAAGCTGTGTTAATGGTGTTTATCCCAGCGAGACACAGTAGCTTGCTCCCACAGTCTATGTCTGGATCTTCAGTTGTCTGGATATGAGCTCTTACACATTGAATTCAGCAGCAATAGATGAACCTCCGAGTCACTCAGAGGCTATGGGCCCACTGGCGATCCACACCTTTAAAGTGCCTTTTTAGCAAGCAGGGTGCCAACCTTTCCCTTTCAGGGACTTGCTGCAGCAGCCAAGTGGGGAGGCTGCTAGGTGGACCTAGACCACCACTGCCCTCTGCTGTTTGGTTTAGGGAGGTGGCGCCTTTGGGTGTGAAGCAATAGAACTGTTGCTCCAGGCTGCAGCTCCATCCTCTCAAGGTTCACCCCCCTCCCGTGGCTAGAGACTAATGCGGAAAACTGTCTCCTTCACCTTCCATGTTCTCTCCTTTAGTCCATGTGAAGGGAAAGAATAATTGTGACTTTTGAGGACTTTGACTCATCCTACTACCCTCAAGGTGGCACACATCATTTTTATCGGCCCCAAATAGTCATGAGATATCAACCTTGAAAACTCCTAGGCAGTGAAGCAGGGCTGGCACATGATTTTCTCTGCAGTGTTCCTGCCTGTTTTGGTCAGCATTTGCTCTGAGTTTATAAGTTTTTGTTTCTTTTTAATTGGGAACATTCATTTTATTCCCCCTATATACCATTTCCCCCTTTATCTCTTCCTTTTAATGTTTATCTATTTAAAAAAAGTTTATCAAGACTGAGTCCCCTGATAATCCTGATTATTATTATTCTTTTGTGTTGATCTTCTTCCAGACTTTACCTCACCCTCTGTTCCATCAGAACTCTGATTCCCTGTATAAATCCTGCCAGCAAAGCACTGCAAATGGGGTGGTTATTTAAAACCCTCCTCTTTTCTAAGATTCTGCATTGACTGCCTCTGTCTTTCTGAAATGCATACCATCCTAGCCAGGTCATAATGTATGTTAACCCATGCTGCTTTCTTCCTGCTAATACTGACCCCTAGGATTTGGTTTCCATCCAGCTGAAGAACTGTTATAGGCAGACATCTGTGTATGAACTTACAAGTTTTTGTATCTCCTGGGTCAAAGTGGTAAATCCTTGTGAAGGCTGTGGCTGCAGCACTTGGCATGGTTCTCACATACCACAGGCACTCACACGTGAGTGGCATGGACCTTCCTTGTCCAGGCTGTTCCTCACAAAATGTATGTGTGCATAGCTCTTAGGTGCAGAGTTGTATCAGTAAGTGTAACCATGACAAGGTAAATGGAGGCAGAGCCATCCTTGTGTACAGAGGATGAAAACTGTGGCATATAATTTGCTAACTCAGATTCTTTCTCAGTCTTGTTGAGAATACATTGTTGCCTTGGCCCCTGGAAATGTTTTCTGTAGGAGAGGATGAAGTGTGGAGAAGTTGGTTGTAATGGCTGTCTTCTTGCTTTCTGAAGCTCCCTCCGGCTCTGCACCATGATCTGAAGAGAAGGGTTGTAGAGAGATTTAAGAAGTCTCTGTTCAGCCGACAGAGTAACCCATGCAACCTGAAGTCTGAAATCAAGAAGGTACGTGATTTCCACACAGGGACTTGTCCAGGGGAGACCTCCTCCTCCCAACTCAGCTCACTGAATTCTGCTCACTGTCCAAGGGTACTGCTTAGCACACCAAATGGGTATTTAACTTCTGACTTCTCATCCTTATTTCCGGGGCTGTTATTTTCAGACAACTGGTACAGCTCTTTCCTTATCACTACACATTTTCCTAAGAATAAATGTCTTTAATTTAAAAATATGTATATTACAGCCTGCCTTTGAAGAGTCTGTTTCAGTACTTTTGAGAATGCTCTTCAGTGAGCCCCTAAATTGCATTTCCTGTCTGGAACAGTCAGCTGACCCTGTGAGGCCTTGATTTTAATCATCTATGGGGGCGGAATGAACTCGTCCTTCCCAACTACAACACTCTGTAGCTGTTTCACCTTTGGGTACAACAAGTTTCTGTTCACACATACAGAGGCTAAATTGTTATGCCAAATGGGAAGAAAACTGAAATAGGAAGTCTGCTTTTCCTGGGAGTCCTATAAACCTGCTGTCCTACCCCTGAAGGTCCCTGGCTTAGAAAAGTCTAGCTACTGTGATGGACATAGTTTGGTCCCTCCAATGTCTTTAACTCCTCCTCTTTAGTGTCCTCATCTGCTTAAACATTGGTACTATGTTGTCCATAAACTCTTCCTCTTGGGTTTTTTTGCCATTAAGCACAAATTTACTAATCCTGGAGATATGTGTTAGGCTCTTTGATTAAAAAAAGAGAAAAAGAAAAAAAAAAAGAGAAAGAGAAAACGGCAAGTGCCTTTCTCTGTCTTGCTGGAGCAGAGCCATAGCAATGTCTGCTGTCTGGATTTGGTATCATCTATCTATCTATCTATCTATCTATCTATCTATCTATCTATGGATATGGATATGGATATGGATATGGATATGGATATAGATATAGATATAGATGATATAGATATAGATATAGATATAGATATAGATATAGATATAGATATAGATATAGATATAGATATAGATATAGATATAGATATAGATATAGATAAGGGGCAGCTGCAGGCAGGTAAACAAAGCATGATCTCAGCCTTTGGAGACAGGAGAATGAGCTGCCCTTCACGTGCTACCCAGGTAAACATGGAGATGATGGAGATGAAGCAGCTATACAGGAGGCCTCACACTTACCAACAGTCTCGTAAATACCAAGAAGAATGTTTTTAAGCATCATAATCTCATGTTTCCCACAAAAGATTACAAGATGCTTAGCTTTTATGGTCTTAGTAAAGTGATACCAAGAATAAGCCAACTTACATACAAATTCATCTTAACAGAAATCCTGGTTTTTATAGATGAAAGGTTCTACCTGAAAGGGGTGTTCAGAGGCTCCTTCACCTGCCAGCCAGTGGTTTTCTGCTCCTGCCTGACCTGCAAGTCCTCCTCAGTCTTTCTCATGCAGGCTTCCTCTGTGTTTTGTTCCTCCTAGACAGCAAAGCGATGTTCATTTGTGAAATCATCCCTCCAAAGCCCCCTCCCCCGGCTGTCCTTGGCTCCCTTCCTCCCTTCTGGAGAGCACCTCTAACCAGGGTTCAGGCCTGAGCATAAAAGCAGGATTGGTGGGGGAGTGGAGGAGTCTGGGGAGCTCAAGTGAGAGGGTTACTGAGTCAGGCTGGGCGACCCATCTGCATCAAGCCTATCAAAGCGCCAAATTAAGAATGAAAAGCATGGAAAGGAGACTTAGCCATTGGGGCCACATGGGGGTCCCATGGCTTTTCCAGGCCCCAAGCGGTCTTCAGGATCCTGAGGGGAAGGCAGTGTTTAAATATAAGCAAGGTCTATGCATCAGTGCCTGGCTCTAATCTTTCTTTCAAGATGGTCTGCGAAGTTGTCTGAACTATGGAATCTCTCTCCAGGGGACTTTTATTTTTCCTCTGGCACCAAGCTTTAGCCTTTTCCTTCTCCCAGCATGAGATTCCTAGGGAAATTTTCAATTCCTTGTGGTCCCTTGCTTCACAGTCTGATAGACCAGGTTTCTTCATTTCGGCTGGAGTAACTTAGGGGCACCAAAGCCAACTGAATAATCACACAGTGTCCGTTAAACCTGGGAAAAGGGAGAAGGAAGATGGAAGGATTAGTTCAAGTCAGTGTTTTAAACGGCACTGCCAGTGAGAGTAAATTCATAACAAATATCTTCTTTCAAAAATATCCTCACCAAAAAATACTCTAGAAACTAATCAAGAAGCATTCAACTCCACATTTCCCCTGTTTCTGAGGAGATGCAGTCGATTGGTCCAGGGCAGAGATCTCACAAGCTTGGATTGGGCTTTTTTGGGATATAGGCAGTATAGCACTGCTGGGGACTCCTGCTGATGTGTCTAAAGGACTGAGAGCCATGTTGAGGCTGTCCCTGAAGCATCACTAAGAATACAGCCATAGCCTGACAACAGCATAAAATTCAGGAGGCAATAATGACACTAAAGCGAAAAGATCACTCTGGTTAGCATCAGAACGTGCAATGGAACCCATTCTTAGTTTTAAAACATGTTTCTAAAGGGAATCAATCATTTTTCTTCCTTTCTACTTTAATTTCTGTCTCGGGGTAAACTAATTGCTGATGAAGGGACATTTTGTTTTATAGATGAATTTCAGCTGGCACTGTAGGTTTACAGTCCAGGACAAGAAAGGATGGAGATACCACAGAGAGGAGGCACCTGACAGTGTATGCCACTTGATGCAGAACACAGTCCTCCAAAAGCTTGCAGCTGCATCTGATCAAGCTTCTAAATGTAAAGTCAGCAAACTATAGCTCAAGCCAATCTGGCCTGCTGTTTACTTTTGTAAATAAAGCTTTATTTACATAACCCAATGCATTCATTTCCATCTGGACTATCGCTACTTTATCATTCAAAAAATAAAAATAAAAACTGAGTAGCAGAGTCAGAAACACTATGTCCTTCAAGCTGGAAATATTTACTGTCTGACTCCATAGAACTGCTTGCCAGTCTCCTCTCTGGATCTTGCAGCAAATACAGGGATAAGGACAGATGATAAACATCACAGTTGCCAGGTCCCGAGTTCCTACAACTCTCACTGCTACCAAAACAACCAGGAGAAAGATTGATGGAGCAGGCAGTATTATGAAAATACAGGCTTGGGATAAATGAGACTACATGCCTCACAGGAATACATTTTCTAATTTTTTTCAAAGGGATACTCACCCATGTGGACATGCATGGGTGTTATGGGGCAAGAAATAGAACAGTCCCATGCTTACAGTTCTTTGTTCTTCCATGGATGTTCCTCAAAGGGCTGAGGCTTGTTCTAACTCTTCATAGAAAAACATATGTGTATGTCTTTAGGGCTGACCATAAGGTACTAGAAAAATAATGTTGTGCTCTTTGCTGGGAAGACTATTTCTCCTGCTTTCACGGTTCCTTAGCTGCCTGTCGTTCTTTACCTAGAGTTGAGGTCTCACGAGCTTGCAGCCCTTTTTATCTTACCATGTCTATTGGTATCAGCGTTGTTCAGCACATGTTTAGTCAGCCATGATGGTTTGACTTCATGACACTTCCAAAAGGCACAGTCTCGCAGTGAGCCCCTGATCCTCTGCCCCTTACAATCGCTCTGCTCCGTCTTCTGTGATATCCCCTGAGCCTGGCATGCAGGAGGTGAAGATGTACTATCTGGGACTGGACTCTACAGCTACACATTTGAATTGGCTGTGGTTTTTCTGTGATGGACTGCAAATAGAAGTTTCTTAGGTGTGGAGCGAGAACTAGACTTACCTCTGGGTTTAGGACAGATGTTTAGAATGTAATTAGGGATTGTGCTGGTTTGTTAAACTGGCAGTTGTAGGTCTCCATTCATTCTTTGAGTTGGCGGTTTTGTTAAATGGTTTATGACTCTTCAGTGATCATTGTCAGCCCAGATACAATTTTTTTTTAAATTTATGATTCCTTGTGACTTCTTCATATATCCTTACTGTTATTTCACCCTTCTCCCTCCTTTTATATTTATACCTCTTCCCTTCCCTAATTCAGCCTCACTGTTTTTCTTTCTCCCTTGAGATCACTCATACCCTGCTATTCTCCTCTCTATTGCTCCTCCTCCCTGACAATTGTCTCTTTTCATTTATCCGTATTCTGTAGTGATTACAGGTTTATATACTCAGATCTGAAGATTTGGAGTTAGAAGCTCAAATGAGAGAGAACATGTGATGTTTGTTTTCCTGGGTCTCTAGGTTACCTCACTCAATATGATCTTTTCTAGTTCCATGTGCTTTAAATAATAATTTAATAAATACATATTTTTCAAGAACCATACTGAAACATTATGAAAAATAAATATATTGCACAGAATTTGTTATCCAGTTCCTGAAGGATATACATAGGAAGGGATACAGAAGAGGTACACATGAAACCATATTGGCCATTTGCAGTGGGGTGATAGGCACGTGGAGTTCAGTGTATTAACCCTACTTTTATAAGTCCTTGAAGGTTTGTGTACATGTCTGCATTTGCGCGTTTTTCTACGGGTACACATGTGTAGAGGAGTGATAGAAGGACAAGTTTGGGAGGTACCTGAGAGTTGCAGGGGCTCTCTTATCTCAGGGGAGGTGTGAAGGTGCCAGATAATCCTTGACCACCAAAGCCACCCTGCCTCACTGGCTTCTGGGACCTTTGCCTTGTGAATGCAAAAGAATGAATTCAGTGGACAAAGGCAGGGTGAGGGTCCTGGTTGGTTTTGTTTTGCTTTGTCAGTTTGACTTAGCTACAGTTCTATAAGAAAAGGAAGCCACAATTGAGAAGATGCCTCCATAAGATTGAGCTATAAGCAAGCCTGTGGAGAATTTTCTTAGTTAGTGATTGATGTGGGAGAGCCTAGCCATCCTGAGTAGTGTCATCCCTGGGCAGGTGGTCCTAGGTGCACAAGAAAGCAGGCTGAATAAGCCATGAGGGGGGTTTCTGTTTCAGTTCCTGACTCCATGTTCCTTCCTTGAGCTTCTGCTCTGACTTCCTTAGATG